CTCTAGGATTTTAGGACAAGAAAAAGTGAGTTATTAAAGGCTATATAGACACATTTATAAAGTACATCCCACCCCAATAACTCAATGGGAAGATAGAAGTAGATTTGGCAGCATTTAAAAAATGGTGCCCTGAACCAGCAAGCACTCACCAGGAGATGCCCATGCAGAGCTCCCAAATTTTTCAGTAGGCGTTTTCAGTTTAGGTTTTTGGGAGTTTGGGGTTTTGGGTTTTGTTTTTGTTTTTGAGATAGAGTCTCACTGTGTTATCCAGGCCGGTCTCAAACTCCTGGGTTCAAGCAATCCTCCCACTTCAACCTCCCCAGTTCTGGGATTATGGTTGTGAGCCACTGCACCTAGCCTCCAGGATTTTTTCTCTTTTTTTTTTTTTTTTTTTTTTTTTTTTTTTGAGACGGAGTTTCGCTCTTGTTACCCAGGCTGGAGTGCAATGGCACGATCTCGGCTCACCGCAACCTCTGCCTCCTGGGTTCAGGCAATTCTCCTGCCTCAGCCTCCTGAGTAGCTGGGATTACAGGCACGCACCACCATGCCCAGCTAATTTTTTTTTGTATTTTTAGTAGAGACAGGGTTTCACCATGTTGACCAGGATGGTCTCGATCTCTTGACCTTGTGATCCACCCGCCTCGGCCTCCCAAAGTGCTGGGATTACAGGGTTGAGCCACCGCGCCCGGCCTCAGGATTTTTTCTCAAATCAGGTTTACATGAAACTAGTGATGATGAATTCATTAATGAGAGAGAAAGGGCATATTCTTTATTACTTGAAGTGACTCTGTTCAGGAAAAGTACTGAAAGTTTACAAATGAAAATGTCAAATTGTAGCAAGAGAAGGAAAAATAAAACAGAAATTATGGTTTCGAGGACATGAAAAAAATTATTTTATATGCCTTAACAGATGAGAATACAGGTCTCAAAATGTTCTTAACTTTTTTTTCTTAATTTAGCATGGAACTCCAGAGCAACCTCACAGTAAGGAAAGAGAAAAAAACCAAGATGGGAAGAGTAAAAAGGACAGACTCACTCTCCACCCAGTACAATAGTCTGACTTGATTTCAAACGCCAGTAGCTGCTCTATCTTCTCTCCTCTGGTAATTACGACCTGCTGAACTTTTACTACACTTTGTCAATTATGTTTATTAAGCTAACTCTTTATGAAAAGGAAGATAAGATTAGGAACATAGTTCTATTCACTATGGAGATAACGGTGATGATGTTGATAGTGGTAGGGGCAGTGACAGTGGTGATCCTGACAAGCAGTCTTCTGAATCTCACTACTAAAAAGGTACTGATACACCTTCCCAGAACTCTGCAAAGTGTAGTAGAAATATTTTTTCTAAAGGTCTATTAATCACCAAAAAAAAAAAAAAAAAAAAAAAAAAAAAAAAAACTATAATCAATCCCCAAATGTAGAATTAAATGAATAACAGTAATACAACCTACACTCTCGGCCTTAAAAGTGAAAATGTAAATAAAATCTCCTCCACATCTGTCAAACAAACAAATGAACTCTTCACTGAAGAAAAGCCATACTTCTTCACCTTTATTAAATACATTCTGCATTCACACCCTTTAGTTTTTACTATTTCTGACACAAATCAAGCCAGAAATTTATTGCGGTTTGGGTAAAACACCTCCCCACCGAGGATTTCTAAGAAGTCCAGGACTGCTGGAAATAAACTACTGAGAAACAGTCTACTGCCTTACCCAACTCTACTAAAAGATAAATCTTTATTAAAACCAATCTTTTTCTGAGGGGATGGGGTGGCTCATAAGAAAATGATGAAACAGTCAGGCTCATACCTGTAATTCCAGCACTTTGGGAGGCTGAGGCAGGAAGATCACTTGAGCCCAGGAGTTCAAGACCAGTCTGGGCAACATAGAAAGACCCCATCTCTACAAAAAAAATTTTTTTAACTAGCCAGGTATGCTGGCACTTGCCTGTAGTCCCAGCTATTCAGGAGCTGGAACATCAGGATCACTTGACCTCAGGAATTCCAAGTTGCAGTGAGCTATGATCTCACCACTGCACCACTGCACTCTAGTCTGGGCAACAGAGGGAGACCCTGTCTCTTAAAAGTAAAAGGTATTTATTTGTTGGTGTTAATATGTTGGAGAAAAAAAACAAAACACAAATCCAGATCCAGATACTTGAAGATCCGGACCCCTGATTTAGAAGCCCTGGGTTATCTACATATTGTTACAATGGTAGAAGCCAAATAAAGCAAAGGATATGAAGACAAGCAGGGTGAAGTGTCTAGATCCTCAAGTCCTCACATTACAGGAAGCATCTGCTCTGAGAACAATAACTCCCAGCCTCTGATAACAGAATAACATTCTCCTTTGAAAGAGGTGAGTGCTCCTAGCAATGGCATTTTCAAAAACAGCCCATGAAAGAAGCAGCATATTCCCTCTTTCCTTTCCACAGATCCACTGCTCCCAGGACAGTTTTGCCTGACCCAGTCTTGAGCACTTGAACTCCCCCACAGGCATATGAAGAACCCTTCTCCCAAAAGAAGATCTAAGAATAAAGTTGAGGCCGGGCGCGGTAGCTCAAGCCTGTAATCCCAGCACTTTGGGAGGCTGAGGTGGGTGGATCACGAGGTCAAGAGATCGAGACCATCCTGGTCAACATGGTGAAACCCCGTCTCTACTAAAAAATACAAAAAATTAGCTGGGCATGGTGGCGTGTGCCTGTAATCCCAGCTACTCAGAAGGCTGAGGCAGGAGAATTGCCTGAACCCAGGAGGCAGAGGTTGCGGTGAGCCGAGATCGCGCCATTGCACTCCAGCCTGGGTAATAAGAGCAAAACTCCATCTCAAACAAACAAACAAAAAAGAATTAAGTTGAAAACCAAGCCACGACAACATGCACCCCCAATGCAGGTACTATTTGTTGCAAAAAAAAAGAAAGAGACTGATACGGAGATCACAGAAAAGACATACCAGGTAAAATTCTAGAATTAGAGTATGTAAATGTCCAAGTGAAGCTCAAATATTTATCCAAAACATCCATATATATTCTGGACCTCTGCATTGCAGGGAAACTGCCACACTAGTGGAACCAAGATTATAAATTCTTTTTTTTTTTTTTTTACTTTTACTTTCAGGGATACATGTGCAGGTTTGTTATATAGGTAAATTGCCTGTCATCGAGCTTTAGTGTACACATTTCATCATCCAGGTGATAAGTGTGGTACCCGATAGGTAGTTTTTTGATCCTCTCCTCTTCCCACTCACAAATTCTTAATGAATAAATAATGAATGTGGAACTACCTTAAGTATTATCTCCTGTGATTTAATATTTCAATATTTTCTTTAGCAACTATCATAAGATCAGGATTCATTCATTTTCAGAAATGACAGTTCAGTAACGAAAGTTGAAGTCTGCCCCCATGTAAAAGGAAGTGAGATTTCTGCATCTTCTTCTGCAGTGTTGTTATACTAATAATATTAGCAATTGTTGTTTATTGAGTGCCTAAGAGGTACTATATGCAGATTTTAACATTATAACTGACCTAGGAGGTCAGTTTCATTATTTCCATCTTACAGATGAGGAAATTGTGGCTCAAAGCAGTTAAGTAACCTACCCCAAGATCACAAGTAGCAGAGTAGTATCAGGATTCAAACTCAGATCTTAAGGGCTAATCTATACTTCCCCTCCAGGGAAATAAGGCCTCCCACTTCCCTGACATTGTTCCTAAGAGGGACAAAGTGGCCTGCCCCTACACATACCATCTCTTCCTGACTCCTATTCCAAATATACCTACCCAGTGAACTTCCAGTGGGGAAAGAAACACAGACGTAGATAAACTTTTACTTTTATTTCATTTCGTGATGATGTTCATTTCTCTATGCTTGTAGAAAATCAACACTTATGTAATGAACTGTTATGAAATACCAACCACCCTTCATTACATGCCTTAAATGATTTTTTTTTAAATAACTCTTAACATTATAAAAATATATGTCTCGGCAGGGCAAAGTGGCTCACGCCTGTAATCCCAGCACTTTGGGAGGCCAAGTTGGGTGGATCACTTGAACTTAGGAGCTTGTGACCAGCCTGGGCAACATGGTGAAAACTTGTCTCCAAAAGTAGTAATAATAGGCCGGGTGCTGTGGCTTCCCAGCACTTAGGGAGGCTGAGGCAGACAGATCACAAGGTCAGGAGATCGAGACCACCCTGAACAACATGGTGAAACCCAGTCTCTACTACAAATACAAAAATTAGCCAGGCATGGTGGCACGTGCCTGTAATTGCGGCAACTCAAGAGCCTGAGGCAGGAGAATCACTTGAACCCAGGAGGCAGAGGTTGCAGTAAGCTGAGATCATGCCATTGCTCTCCAGCCTGGGCAACAGAGTGAGACTCCATCTCAAATAATAATAATAATAATAATAATTAATTTAAAAAAAGAAAAAATACAATAAATGTTCATTTTAATGAAAAAAAAATTTAAGTATTTAAGTATTTATCCCTTCCCCCAAAATTGTTTTTCCCTTAGTATTGAAAAAGAAGACATTCTTTGGTCCAATTTAATCTTGGGCCATGTTAACCTGAAACAAGAACCAAACATGGCTCTGTTACAAATGGCTCCCACTTTCACACTGTTTTCTTTTTTTCTTGTAACTTTAAAACTTAAGAAGTATTCCATAAAACTGGATTTTAACTATTGTGTAGCTTCTCCTTTCCTTCCCTCAGACCTATTCTGTAAAATACTTTGCACTCAATAAATATGAGTCTGTGTTAGAGACTAGCCCATTTCCTCTTCTGAGGCACACAGTAGCCTACACTTCCCAGCCTCCTTTGCCTCTGAATATGAGCATGCAGGAACACCATCTAGCACTTTACATGAGTGAGAACTAAAAGTATGTTAGGTAAGCTACTGCGAATTTGGGGTTTCTCTGTTAAACACAACCTAACACATGACCTTATTAACATATTCCAATTATTACTGCAGAAGGGTAAGACTTTACACGGTTTACCTTACCTTTTTCAAAGACTCCTTCTGCTTGCAGGACAGAGACAGTGAGGTTTGATGATGTCTTGAGCAGCTCCGCCTTCACAGTGACCTGTGAGGGGCAGTGTTCCAGAAGATCCACCCCAATAGTCACATTTCCTCCAGGCCTGATGATCCCTGGAGCTGTCACCAGAAACCGGGGCCTAAAGAGTTCCCAACAAGGAAAAAACAAAGTTTCTTATCCTCACATCTCCTTTCCGTTGTGACCTTCAGATTTCATAGTGCGAAAGGCACTCCATACTGTGCCAACTGCAGTTGTTTCTGTTAATCTTGTCCACTGCTCTATTTAGCAAATGCTAATGGAAATTCCCATTGAAATATGGGAATTAACAACCATAATAACAACAAATCAATTTTAATGCAGTAATTCATGCACCACTACCAGAGGAAAGCTTGTGTTATTCTTTCCATTTTATAAACCACAAACAGCACAGAAGGAACCATGATGTAAATGGCTTGCACCGGGGCATGCTGGAGTTATTGGCAAAGCAGAAGTCTCTAAGCTTCTCCTTTACAGACGACCTTATCCCAGAGTGATTACTTTCTTCCTCCTCCTCCTCTTCTTCTTCTTCTTCTTCTTCTTTTTTTAACTAAGATTTTGCTTTCTTATTCAAACCTTTATGCTAGAGTATCTGCCCAACGAGGGGAAAAAATTAACCAATACTATTGATTGAAATATTTCATTTGAAAATAAGCTATCACTGGTGAAAATTCCAGGTGTAGCATAAAAGGAGTCATTAAAGCAGCACTTTCTCTGCTCTAACTAGGGGTTATGGCTCAACTACAGAAATCTTTAGGAATGAATGGGCTTTCCATTACTGGGTGCTGTTATTGGTTATCTTCCTTCAGTGTCTGCACCTGAACCCAAACATCAGTTCCCCTCCGCCACACTTTTTATCTTGGTTAGAAAATATTTATCGTATGTCTTTGAGAAAAGAAACGCAATCTGGGAGCAAAAGGTTGAGAAGCAAAAGGCAGAGGCAACGTGGACTAAAAATAAAATGACTCTCTCCAGAAAGCGGTTATGGCCAGGGAGACGCTTAAACAACTTCAGGAGTGAAGAAAGTAACTGTCCCATGGAGAGCCACGCTGAAGCTACGTCAAACCCCCAGGCCTGTGCTGGGCTGGGGACTGCAGTTGGGCGGGCGTTTCCCACCCGCTGCCGCACAGCCGCTGCCACCTCCCCGAAGCCCCTGGCCAGAGCCGCAGAGCGGCCCAGGCCCGCGCGCCCCCCGCGCGCCCACGTTCCTACCCCGGGGCCGCGGCCAGGGCGGCGGTGCACACGCAGAGGAGGTGGGCGGCGGTCAGGAGCGGCGGGCCCTGCATCTCGACGGCTTCTGCCGGGGCGACAGTCCGCTGCCGGGGAACTTCGCGGGCACTGTAGGGTGTGGCTTGCCACCTCCTCCCTGATTTTTTTTTTTTTCCTCTCAATTCGAGTTTAGCAATCTGAAATGGGCGCGCCTAACAGCAGAGTGAGAGATCTAAATTGAGACAGGACTTGGAGGCTCCACCCCTCTCATCCCCATCACAATGGCGCTTCTCGCTGCTCTGGCAAACACCGCAAATCCAGGGGGGTGAGAAAGCAGGCGGCCCCACCTGGCCCGGGCGTCCCCGCTGGCCGCAGACAACAGAGCGCGTCCACTTCCCCAGCCCACCGGGTTCCTCAGGCTGTTTACACTAGCGCCCTACCAACTGATGCCCAGGGTGAGTAAACAGGCCTATCCTTGTGAGAAGAAATTCATAGCAGCTATGTGAAGTGGAAAAAAGTCAATCATTGTCCTCCAGACTATGAGTCAGAATCTTAGAGAAACGGCACACACAAACAGACACACACACACACACCCCAAACGGGCGCATTTCCTGGGTAGTTATTTAATGTATATGAATGGAAACAGAGAAAAACTTACTTTCCTTAAAACTTGAGGTCTACTGCTTTTCTTTCCAGAAAATGTTATGGTTTCTCACCTTTAAAAAAAGAAAGAAAGAAAGAAGAACAGAAAGAAAAAAAGAACTCTGGCACTGCAGACATTAGGTGTTGCTACATGGAACCCTGAAAAACAATTATCTAAGAAGATGCCTGTATATTTTTGCTACAGAAAGAATTCGGCAGAACCGTAAAACTTGAAGCAATCTGGCTGAACACAATTAGAGTTGGGGGGCTCTCCTGTCAGAAGGAAGGCCAGAGCCAGTGGTGCCCAGGAGCTACTGATGCCCAACTCTTCCCAGTCCTGGCTTGTTTGCAGCTCCTCTCCCCTGCTCTCTGGCAGTGCCACCATCTTCAGATGACTCAGGTTTCATCATGACTACACCATAAAAGCAGGGAACTGCCAGAAACTGTTGGAAAACAGACACATTCAATCCCTGACAACTTAAACTTTCTGATTCATGGAGAAGTTTTAGATGATAGCATTCTAATAAGGGGCAAAATGCAAACGGAAAAGAGGTCAGCAAAAAGATGTCTCATGACAACGCTATGTGCTAAATAAGGAAAAGTTAGAAAGTAGCACCTAGACAAACTGTGGTTTGGGGAGTCCAGGACTTGCTTTCCTCCCTTTCCTGTTCCACCCTTTTTCTCCCTACTGAACAGCTTGCAAAGGTCCTAATGTCCTTTTCTACAGACAGCCTATCTTTAGTGGCCAATTCCTGTGCATGCAGGACTTAGGGATGGTGAAAAGAGCCTGTGTGGGTCCCTGGGTGCTGACCTGTTCCTGACACAGCTGTCACTGCTGGTCTCCTTGCCTCTGTTGTTCAGAGAGGAGGACCCGGGTCAAGTGTGGGCCAAGCACCAAGGCCTAATGCAGTGCTTCTCACATGCCAATGTGTATGAGAGTCACACTAAAACACAGACACTGACTTGGTGGGTCTGTAGTGGGGATTGGGATTCTGCTTTGCTTTAGCAGACGGTGACCCATGGAGGTTCTACAAGTGGGACAGTTTTGGGGCACTTGAATGAGCATGGGCAATTAGGAGCACTGAGAAAATTCTCACAATCTTTCAGTTCATAAAGGTGGATTCGTAAATTCAGGTTCATTCTAGAGGTAGGTAAACATAAGAGGGACTGCAAAAGGTTAGTTAATAATGTTGCCTCCCAAGAAGACTTACAGAAAGGCTTAGAACCACATTGTGTAAAACTAAATCTGTGTGGATTTTAAAGTGAGGCCACCTTCCTGTTTATACCTCCTTCCCACAACACGCATTTGTTGAAAGGCATAATCATGCAGAAATTTAGGCATATGGATTTGCATAGAGACAAGGCTATTACATGCCTGGCACAGAGTAGCTATTCAATAAAAATTTGTTTGAAGGATTAATGGAAAAAACATTCATCTCAGTGGTGGGTTTTTTATTAAGAAAAATTGAAAATGAGGCCAAGTGGTGGCTCACACCTGTAATCCCAGTACTTTGGGAGGCCAAAGCGGATGGATCACCTGAGGTCACCAGTTAGAGACCAGTCTGACCAACATGGTAAAACCCTCATCTCCACTAAAAATACAAAATTAGCCAGGCATGGGTGGTGGCGCAAGTCTGTAATCACAGCTACTCGGGAGACTGAAGCAAAAGAATTGCTTGAACCTGGGAGTTGGAGGTTGCAGTGAGCCGAGATCACACCATTGCTCTCCAGCCTGGGCAAAAAGAGTGAAACCCAATCTCAAAAAGAAAAAAGAAACAATGAAAATGGGCCAGGCATGATAGCTCACACCTGTAATCCCAGCACTTTGGGAGTCCAAGAGAGGCAAATCACTTGAGGTCAGGAGTTCTAGACCAGCCTGGCCAACATGGTGAAACCTTATCTCTACTGTAAAATACAAAAATTAGCCCAGCATGGTGGCCCATGCCTGTCATAAAAGCTACTTGGGAGGCTGAGGCATGAGAATCACTTGAACCCAGGAGGATCAGGCTGCAGTGAGCCAAGATCTTGCCACTGAACTCCAGTCTGGATGACAAAGCAAGACTCTGTCTCAAAAAAAAAAAAAAAAAGGAAAACTGAAAATGGTCTGAACATGTAACAAGAGATTGCTTTGTTATCATTTGGATGTGTGACCCTCAAAGCACATGCTGTAATGTGATCCCCAGTGTTGGAGGTAGAACACAACGTGAGGTGTTTGGGTCCTGGGGGTGGATCCTCATGAATAAATGAATGTCCTCCCTGGAAGTGGGAGGTGAGTGAGTACTCAGTTCCCACAAGAACTAGTTTTTAAAAAGAGCCTAGCACCTCCCGCTTCTCTTGTTTCCTCTCTCACCATGGGATCTCTGCACACTAGCTCCCCTTCCCCTTCCATATGAGTGGAAACAGCCTGAGGACCTCATCAGAAGCCAAGCAAATGCTAGTGTCATGTTCCTTGAACAGCCTGCAGAACTGTGAGCCAAGTAAACCTTTTTTTTTTTTTTTTAAATAAATTACCAAGACTTGGGTAATCCTTTATAGCAACACAAAACAGACAAAAACTGGAAAATAAATTACGGAATATCCATGCAATGGAATACTGTGAAATAATTAAAAACTATTTGTTTAATTATAGCTTGTTTAATCATCTAGACAAATATTCATATGCTATATGTTATTAAGGAGCGTGCATTAGTCTGTTCTCACACTGCTGATAAAGACATACCTGAGGCCAGGTGCAGTGGCTCACACCTGTAATCCCAGCACTTTGGGAAGCCGAGGCAGGCAGATCACGAGGTCAGGAGTTTGAGACCAGCCTGGCTAACATAGTGAAACCCTGTCTCTACTAAAAATACAAAAATTAGCTGGGCATGGTGGCGGGCGCCTGTAGTCCCAGCTACTTGAGAGGCTGAGGCAGGAGAATCACTTGAACCCAGGAGGCAGAGGTTGCAGTGAGCCAAGATTACGCCACTGTACTCCAGACTAGGTGACAGAGCGAGACTCCTTCCCCACCAAACACAAAAAAAGAAAATACCTACCTAAGACATACCTGAGACTGGGTAATTTATAAAGGAAAGAGATTTAATTGATTCACAGTTCCACATGGCTGGAGAGGCCTCACAATTATTGTGGAAGGCGAATGAGGAACAAAGTCAAGTTTTACATGGCGACAGGCAAGAGAGCATGTATAACAGAAAAACGATCAGATTTCATGAAACTTACTATCACACGAACAGCATGGGAAAGACCCACTCCCATGATTCAATTACATCCTGGGTCCCTCCCACGACGTTTGGGAATTGTGAGAGCTCAGATTCAAGATGAGACTCAGGTGGGGACACAGCCAAACCTTATCAGAGGGGAAGTCTGTTTTATAAAACAGATTTTAAATTTCATTCTATTTTTATAAAAAAATAAAGTGTATTCATGTATACATACACATTGCAGATCTATGCATTGAAGAAAGACTTGAAGGTTATTCACCAAAATGTTATCAGTATCCTGGTGACTACCTGGATATCCCAAGTTTCCTACAATAAATACATGTTATATCTCCTTTAAGAAGAAAAAAATAATTATTGTTTTAGTAAATAATTTTTGAGGAGACATCTTAGATGCTCTTTTGAATAAAATTCTGAATTTTGATACCAAAAATATCATCTATGCTTCTCGCATGAAAACTAAATGATCTCTTGGGTAAGAACCCCACACTGTTCCTGTGTCCCTCCTGAGCTGCCTTTAGGGTGTTGATACGGTTTGGATCTATGTTCCTGCCCAAATCTCATGTCAAATTGTAATCCCCAATATTGAAGGTAGGGCCTGGTGGGAGGTGATTCAATCATAGGGACAGATTTCCCCCATGATGCTGTCCTTGCAATAGTGAGTTTTCATGAGATCTGGCCATTTAAAAGTATGTGGCACCTTCCCCCAACTCTCTTGGTCCTGCTCCTGCCATGTAAGATACCACAAACTCGCACATCAGTCCCCTCTGCCATATGTTGGCAATGCTAAAGTTAAGACCATGAGTAAAAGCTCCTCGAGGCCTCCCTAGAAGCAGATGCTGACATACTTCCTGTATAGCCTATAGAACGTAAGCCAATTAAACTTCTTTTCTTTATAAATTACCCAGTCTCAGGTATTACTTTATAGCAATACAAGAACAGACTAATACAGACTGTAGTTCAAGGGGAAAGGCAGAACCACTCTGAAGTGAGACAGACCCTAAGCAATCATGGGAGCTGTTGGGGCAGTCCATGCAGGCCATTGCCCCTGCGTGTAGTGTGGAGCCTAAAGTCACTATCAGTCAGCCAGGGGAGAGAAGCTAAATGTGGCTAAGAACAAGGAAAAGCTAATTGAGAAGTGGAACCCGTGTCCAACTTACCACCTCCAACTTCAATGTCATGGGTAACTTGCAGGAGAAGCTGGTGTCCTTTGTCCAGAGCTGCATGTGCATTCAGCCCACAATCCAGAAAAACTGAAGAGAGCCTCTGAGAACCAAAGGAGCTACAGGCCTGACTGTGGCCCTGAACCCACAAAGTGGGTTGAACTAGCACATTAGTAACAACATGGGCAAGTATTCCCACCTGT